TGCATAGGTACATACATGGCAATGTGGTTTGCTGCCTCCATCCCCTTATCACCTATATCTGGCATTTCTCCCAGTTAACTCTCCCCAACTCCCTACCCCTGCTGTCCCTCCCCTAGTCCCCCTCAACAGGCCCCAGTGTGTGATGCTCCCCTCCCTGTGTCCATGTATCAGAATCAGTTATTAATGTCAAATGTGACTTTGAAAATTTCCAGAATGTAAATACATAATGCAAAATTTGTTCCCATTAAAGTTCTACAATTTTTTCCATAATTTTTTCCTCATTTACTCAATTTTTTAAGCTGTACTGGTATGATTTTTGTACATTTCAAATTTTAATAAAATTTTTTTATTTGAAACATTTCACTGTTTAAACATCATTACAAGATTTCAAGATTCAGGGCATTAGAACCAGGAGAAAAGTCGTATTCCAGGGAAAGGTAGAACCAGAAGAGAGAAGCATCCCTGAAGCCAATACAAAGACTTTCAAGAAGGAAAATAATAGCTAGACAATGATCTCAACCTCTCCAAAATAATCAAATTGGATAAAGATTTGAAACCAAAATGCTACAGTATTATAACCTCTGGACAGAATCAGAACACTACGTATTTCTTTGTTTGTTTGTAGAAAGTGATTTTATTTAAAGCAGAGAGAGAAACATGAGAAGGAGAGAGAAAGAAACAGCTAACTCTCACACTGAGTGAGAGGAAGAAAAGCCGCTCTCACACTGAGAAGGGTTCCCAGAGGGGGAAAACCAGAGAAGGGAAGCTCCTCTCACACTGAGTGAGAGAATCCTCAAGGATGGAACCCAGGAGAGGAAAGACAGCTTCCACACTGAGTGGTAGGGAACTGAGAGAGAGAGAGATGGAGTTTAGGAGAGGAAAAGCAGCTTCCATGGGAGACTGTTCATGGAAGGGGACCCAAACATGAAGTCCAGAACACTACATATTTCTTGGAATGTTTTGTGAATTTGTAAGAGCAAAAGTCAGATTGGAGAGAATAAGAGGTGAGGGAATGGAGTCAAAATAGGTGATACAGAAGAAGGATAGTGATGTGGTAGAAAGGAGGAATCGTTAAGAATTCACTATATTGATTTTACTCCTACAGAATGCTTACTGTATTTGATACCTGCTATGCTTTCTACTTCCCGAAATACTTTCACTTGAGAGCAGCTCATTCTTCCCTCTCTGAAGTCATGGTACAAATTTTATCAAGAAGTTCTCAATTGTTTTCCATCTCCTCTTCACCAAATCTCATACCCAAAGAGTGACCACGTGAACAAAGCTAATGCTTTTCAGGGTTTCCCTATTAACAATGTGGAGCTGGGGTTCTGGTATTTTTTATTCTCGCTTATAAATGATGGGGGTGAGATAATAGACTTCTAGGATAATAAATAAAATATTAATAATAGATATTTGTTAAGTTCATATTTTCAGAGACTTTTTAAAAAAATGTCTTCTATGTGCTACTTATATCTTTTTTTTTAATTAAAACGATAGTGTCAATATTATAAACACAGGCTAACAGAAATTTAATTTTTCTATATATGGGAAAATTAGGGATGCAGATACAAAAACCTCTGAAATTAAAGAACTAGAAAGATGGAATTGCATTTTTGTTGCTATTTTAAACTTACTATATTGCCTTTATATATTTAAAATTCTGAAATTTTGCTGTGAAGAGATTCAATATAGCATAATTTAAGAAAATTTAAACAGTTTACATTCTCAAATATATCTATGTTGTAAACTCAACATTTTCAAAAACTTTATCACATGAGGTTGCTGTGCATTTAAATTAATTTTATTATTGAGCCTTATTTTAGAACCTCGCTCTAATTCAGCCATTCATATCCTACAACTTAAATTTTTTTGTGATTGAAAAACTTACTCTTTACCAGAGTTTTTCTTGTCTTTAAGTAAACCAATTGTTTCCTAGTTCCAAATGCTTGGATTATATTTTAGACATAATGAAATAGGTAATGTGACAGCTACTTTTAAAAAATATTTTTTCAAACTTTATATGTAATATTGATGAATTTTTTTCTATTCTTAAGAAGTAGAATTACCTTTATTTATAATTAAAAGGAACCCCAGAACTGATAATGGAGGTGATAAAGGAAAATAGATTGATTATCTATTTTCACATTAAAATAACAGCTTGTAAAGTATTAATTATCTATCCTCACAAAACAAATTAGAGTTGTCCCTTGATATCTGCAAGGGATTTGTTCCAGGACCCCCAAATATACCAAAATTTTGGGATGCTCATATCCCTATAGAAAATGCCAAAGTAGTTGCCTGTAACCTATGCACATCCTCCTATATACTTTAAATTACCTCTAGATTACTTATAATAATTAACAACATGTAAAAGTTATGTAAATACCTGCTATATTGTATTTATTATTTTTGTACTATTTTTTATTGTTGTATTTTTTTGGTTTTTTGTGACTATTCAACCAATCCTTGGTTGGTTGAATATGTGGATGCAGAATCCATGGCTACAGATAGCTGATTGCACCAGAAATTTAGTGGCTTAAAGCAGATCTTATCTCACTTTCTGAAAATCAGGAATTTTGGAGCCGCTTAGTTGGGTGGTTCAGCTAAGCCTCTGTCATGAGATAGCAATATGGCTGTAGAACAAGGCTACTGCCTCTGAAGCCTGATTAGAATACTCCTATGGCTACTGGCAGGAGACTTTAGTTGGGGTGTGTGTGTGTGTGTGTGTGTGAGAGAGAGAGAGAGAGAGAGAGAGAGAGAGAGAGAGAGAGACATGGGAGCAGCAATATCTTACAAAACCTAATTTCAGAAGTGATAGCCCATCACTTCCACCACAGTCTATGATCACACAGACTACATTTGGCACAACATGAGAGCGTATTACACAGGGTTGGGGATAGCAAGAGGCAGGGATAATTGGGGGCTATCTTGAAGGCTCACTACCACATCTAACATCAAGACGGCTTATCTGTTCATCTATTTACTATGAACTTTCCTCAACGCTTTCTGTTTTCTTCTACTTGTAATTACTCCTTTTTATAATCGATGCTCCAAGTCATTAAAACTACTCTCCAAGGTACACTTCTAGGAACATTTTCTTCATCACACTCGCAAAAATGCAGCCTTTTCCCCTTATGTTCCTCAGATAATTTTAATGATTATTGAAGACTATGATGATGGTAGCAGAAGCGAATATTTGCTGAATCTTTTCTTTGTCTTTTACGTGCTTCAGCTCAAGTAATCCTAAAACCACTTTATTACATAGAAGCTTCTATTATCACTCCATTTAACTAAGGAAGAAAACAAAGACATTTATAAAATGTGTCTGAGGTTACATAAGCAGTAAGTGATAGGGCTGAAAAGAATCCAGATCTGTTTGTCACAAGGGCCCATACTTTTAACCATGCTACATATCTGCATCTATTTTTAAAAGCACAGTTAAGACATAGCTTCAATTCAGTAATAAACATTTTTGGTTTTTCTTTTTATTATCTGATTAACTGTTTACTATGTTGTTATTTTCTTTTAAAATAGTAATATATGTTTAATTTGGGAAATGCAATATAGTCGACACTATTAAAATGTAAGCTTTGTGTTAGATAATTTTGCCCACTGTAGGCTAACACAATGTTAGATAATTTTTCCCACTGTAGGCTAACAGCATGTTTAAGATAGGCTAGGCTAAACTAAAATGTTTGGCAGGTTAGGTATATTAAATACATTTTTGATATGTGATATTTTCAATTTAACAATGAGTTATGAGGATGTAAATCCATTGTAAGTGGAAAAGCATCTGTAGTTCAATTAGCACTACTGGAAGGTCAATGTCAGGGCAGTCATGTTTGAAACTGTATTGTTCCAAACCATTAGGGTAGAAACATACTCTCTAACTCCTTCATCAATTCCTTCGGCTTGTGGCAAGTTCCTATAATTGTTCTAAAGGCTGAGAGTTTCTATCATACTCGGAAATCTGAGTTACAAGAACATCCCCAGATTACTGAGGAGACGTAGAGGATACTATCTCTTTAGGAGCCACCTTCAATTTTGATTGAATAAATTAATCTTCAGACTGGGTGGAAAGTTTGATTCAGCATTATGAGACCAATATTAATTCTAGTCAAACATGTGCAACAATGATTTTCTTCACCAAAATTTATATCTGGCTGCCAAAATAAAAATTCAATCACAGTTTAAACTTTAAAACAATTTCACATTATTTATTATAATCATGCAAAATATACAAAGATCAATAGTTTATGTGTGGTCAAATGAAGACTGTATTCTAAATAGACTGTGTTCTAAAAATTACTTTCCAAATTATAGAACTGGGGGAGTTATATGATCTAGGGAGCTATGGTAGAATCAAGATTCCTCATGAACTTGCTACTTTTTGTGTCTGAGCCCTTGACTTAATACACGACATTCCTTTTACTTGACATTCTATTTCTTAAATCAAATTTGCTGTCCTCTAAATTGGATGGAAAAATCAAGTTTCATTTTGTGTTATGCTCTTTGTCCTTTTTCACTTATAAACTCTACATTGATTTGAGTAAGGCTCTCAGGACAGCTTATGAACTTGGGCAGCTCCTTTGAAAAAAGAAAATGAGTTGGCTTGTGAGCCCATTTTCTGCAAGCTCTTTGAAAACTAATTACTGCATCTGCAGTACAATAGGAAGGGAAACAGAACTGAATAGGTTAAGGAAGGCAATCAGACAACATGCTTCTGTCTGCACAACATCCTGTGAGCCAGGATGCCACCTTATCTTGTGCTGATTACCCCTGTATATAGTGTGTGGCCACCAGTCATTAACTTCTTGAAGAACTCCAAGTGTAATTTGGAGTTGCCAGTGCAGGCTGCTCCTTCATATAATGGCATCCTAGACCATTGAACAGTAATTTGTATTGTTCTGCTTAGAAAAGCGAAGCCATTGCTATGTTCTTTTTTAAAGAGAAAAGAGTAGTTTACAGACACATAGACAATAGAGGACCTGAGCTACTCAAAAATACTAGCAAGCTCAATGCACAGGAAAATAACCACCCTGCATCTAAGGATACAGTATTCTTTGTGCCTTTTGACTCTAAGCAAACTCTAGCTATGCTCTAATGAGGTGCTTTCCTCCTAACCTATGTGAAGCCACTGACATTTGGCATGTTGGGCAGATAGATCAAAAGTGGCCTACAAGCATGTATAAATGTTTAACACCCAGGTGTTCGACTTGACATTTTCTTGCTATATAGCAGCTGCCTGATTATTTAAGGATTACCGACAGTCACTGAACATCAAGAAAGGTCCACCTGTACTAATCATTTGCTATAATAGGATCAGTGTTCAACCCTAAGTTTCTTTTGATTATCACTGTTAAACTTTCTCATAGTATCCCCTAGCTTGCTAGAGGAAAAAGACTTATTGAGCCATGCTGTATCAAAGGCCTGACTACTGAAATATTAGTGGACATCTTTGAATCCACAATAAAAGATATTCTCCTTAAGAGGCTCAGATAAAGAATAATAAAAAATTTCTACTGTATAGCTATTCCATATCATTTCTATGGTTATTATAAAGCCATGCCTGAAATGGATATAATTTAAAGTAATAACTTTCCTGTCAATCTGCTAAAAAGTAATTTCACAGTCTAATTTCTTATCATAAAAGTCACACAAATTTGGCAATATCTACATTAAAAGACAGTTGAGTCTGATGTAGTCCAAGTCCGTCTTTGATTCTTTTTATTAGATTATAAACTTAGACACATTAACTTCCCTGAGGCCCAGTATTTCTCACTTGGTTAATAGTTACAATAGGTGAGTTTAGAAAGATAAAAAGAATTATAAACACTATAGTTGGCATAGTTAGGGCTAAGAAGGTAAGGCACAGATGGTACTTAATATCATTTAAGGTAGGAAGGGGGAGTAGAATTTATTAGAGTATGTGCTGTGTCAAATAGAAATAGATTGCTTAAAAATACTGTTTCTTCTCACACATTTTGTCCCAAGTCTATTTATTATTATTAATATTATTACTTGCCTGGTATATTCTAGGCACTCAAAAAATATAATCTCCTTTCTCCCCAACACTTATTTTATTCCTTCCCTTCTGCTCTGTTAACAACAGATTTGGAATCTTTTGGAAATATGATGGGAAGATTGATAAGAGAAAAAAAAAAGTCTTGTTCTTTTAATTCCGTCTTCTATGTGGACTGATTTAAAAGAGAAGTCTGACAATCAATTTCTCAAGTTTGTTCTAAGTTTTTCCCAACAATAGATTTATTTTTATTGCAATTGAGAGTTGCTGTCTAGGTGCTTAGGTTCTGTTTCTGCTCTATATAGGAAATGCTTAAATCATGATGAGTTGCAGAAAGCAAATAAGATTTATATGATGTGTAAAAACATTTTGCTAACAGCATAAACAAAAAATATATACTAATTGTTCTTATAACCTAGTACTTGTTACATACCCAAATACTTTGAGAATTCTTGACATTTTGGTCTTTTAAAATATGTTTATTTTATATATTAGCCAAATCTCTAGCTTGATCACTAATGGCTGGCATGTGAGCTAACAACTTTGTCACTTCTAAGAGAGTGAAATGTGCATGTCATTTGTCACTTTTGAATATATATTGAATAAAATACATGTAGATAACAAAAGAGAATTTTAGCATTTGTAGGTTATGTGGGATCTCTTTCTCCATAAGATTTTTGGTAGCTTTGGAAACAAATTTAAACTTTACCCTCTAGTGAAAATAGAAAAGAATACTAAGGTAGGAGCAATTATAACCTATGGACCAAAAGTAGTCAGCCATTTGTCTTTGTTTGGGCCACAAGCTAACAAACTCTGTGTGTGTGTGTGTGTGTGTGTGTGTGTGTGTGTGTGTGTGTGTGTGTCAGAGAGAGAGAGAGAGAGAGAATGTGTGTGTATGTGTTTGTGTGTGTGTGGTGTGTTTAATTTAATGACTGGAAAAAATCCAAATTTCACATTTCGTGACGTGTGAAATTATGAAAATTCAGACTTTAGTGTCCATAAGTAAAATTTTATAAGGGCATGGTGATATGGTTTGGCCCTGTGTCCCCACACAAATCTCATGTTGAATTGTAATTCCCAGGGTTGAGTGAGGGATTAGGTGGGAGGTGGCTGGGTCATGACAGCAGACTTCCCTCTTGCTCTTCTCTTGATGGTGAGTGAGTTCTCATGAGATCTTGTTGTTTGAAAATATCTAGCACTTCCCTCTTAGCTCTTGCTCTCTCTCCTGCCACCATATGAAGATGTGCTTATTTCATATTCAAAATTCTGCCATGATTGTAAATTTTCTGAGGCCTCCCCAGTCATGTATCATACACAGATTGTGAACTGTGAGTCAATTAAACCTCTTTTCTTTAGAAATTTTTCAGGTAGTTCTTTATAGCAGTGTGAGAATGGACTAATGCATACTACTACATCTCATTATTTACATAATTTATATAGCTCTTTTGATGCTACAATGGTAGAGTTGAGTAGTGACAGAGACCCTATAGCTCATGAAACCTAAATATTTACAATCCAGCCGTTGACAAAAGTAATTTTCTTACACATTTCCTAAGGCATTGATATGGTTTGGCTCCATGTCCCAACAAAAATCTCACGTTTTACTGTAATCCACAATGTTGGAGGTGGAGCCTGGTGGGAGGTAATTGAATCATGGTAGTGGTTTCTAGTGGTCTAGCACCATCTCCCTAGTGCTGTCTCATGATAGAGCTCTCAGAAGATGTGGTTGTTTAAAATGTGGAGCACCTCCCCTTCTTTCTCTTCCTCCTGCTACCACCTTGTAAGTCTTGCATGCTGTCCCTTCATCTTCTGCTATGACTGTAAGTTTCCTGAGACCCACCCAGAAGCAGAAGCTTGTAGAACCCACAAAACCATGAGCCAATTAAACTCCCTTTTATATATAAATTACCCAGTCTCAGGTACATCTTTATAGCAGTCAAAGAACAGACGAATACAGGTCTCATTTAAAAGTTTACTAATAAGACAATTCAGTATTTTCCTACATAAAATAGAAGTAGAATATTTCTCAGTCATTATATTTAAATGTATGAGAAATACAAACTGGGAAAATGTACATTAGGTATGAGAATACAGCAGATTAAAACCTTAAAAATTTAGTTCTCTAAAAAATTGTAAATAAATATACAGAGTAGCTTATATCCATATGATATAAGGGTTTTCTAACTCTGATATATATTGATACATGTGTACAAGTTTATAAAGGTAAGCATTATGTCAGGAACTTGATTAGGACTCACTGTTTTGACCTTCAATTGTATGGCTTTCCCTTTCTCTGCATCCTCACTGTACTTGACTCTAATAAATATAAAAACTTACAACAAATATTAAGTATTTGTGAAACACTTGTAGCAAATCCAAATTAATTTAAATATTAAGACCAACAATCTTTTTAGATAAAGTATAATACACCTGTATTAACTTTTGCTGACATGAAGCAGTTAGGAAAATAGGGGTGGTTTAGTTGGCACTCTGGGACATTTCTGGCAGTGGCAAGGGGGAGGAGTGAAAATTATGAGTATGCATAGTGTCACGTGTAAATGACTTAATGCATGCACCATATAAAAAGTGATAAATTGTGACATCAATTTCATACGTTCATGGATGAAAATATAGAGTTTTTATATGTAATAAAAATCAAGTTGTTATCAGGTTAAATAGATTGTTTTAACTATCAAGTTTTATGTAAGTCTCATGGAAATCACAAAGATAAAATATATATTAGACACATTTAAGATACAGAAAAATAAAAATCAGAGCATACAAGTAAAAATTTTGTTGAGTCACCAAAAAGGATAGCAAGAGAGGGAGGAAAAAAAAGTCACTACAATATAGTAAAAAAGAAAAACCCCAAAACTAACAAAACAGTAATTGTTAAGTCTTTAACTATCAATAATTACTAATTGCTTCAAATGTAAATGGATGAAAATTTTGAGTCAAAATATATAGTGACTAAATGATTAAAAAAAAAGACAAGATTCTACATGAGACTCACTTTAGCTTTCAGAACATACATAGTCTGATAATAAAGGGATGAAAAAAGATATTCTACACAAGTTGTAACCAAAACAGAGCAGAGGTGGTTATATGTATATGAGATGAAGAAGATTTTAAGTCAAAAACTTTAAAAAGGGACCAAGAAAGTTATTACAAAAGAACAAAATGTGAGTTTATCAAATGGGCATTACCATTACAAATGTATGTGCACTCAATTTTGGAACATCTTGATATATAAAGTAAATATTATCAGAACTAAAGAGGGAAATCACAATAAAATAATAATAGGGGATTTCAATATCCCACTTTTAACAAGGATATATCATCTAGAAACAAAATCAATAAGAAAACAGACTTACACAACACTAAAGATCAAATGGACCTAATAGACATATATAAGAATTTTTATCCAACAGCAATAGAAAACACCCTCCTCACATGGAATGTTCATACAGAATTCTCCAGAGTAGCTCAGATGATAGGTCAGAAAAGAAGTCTTAACTGATTTAGAAACATTAAAATATCAAGCATGTTTTCTACTATAACAATACAAAACTAGAAATCAATACGAGGAAGAAAGTCAGATAATTCACAAATAGGTGAAAATTAAGCAACTTATTTCTGAACAATCAATGGGTTAAAGAAGAAATCAAAAGAGAAATGGATGAATTTCTAGAAACTTCAATCTACCAAGACTTAATCATGATAATACAAAAAATCTGAACAGATCAATAACATATAAGTAAATTGAATCAATTATCAAAACTTCCCAACAGCAACAACAAACGATGATCAGATGGCTTCATGGGTGAATGCTACTAAGCATTAAAGAATTAATGCCAGCTCTTCCCAAATTCTTTCTAAAAACTTGAAGACAGAAACATTTATAACTCATTTTATAAGACCATAATCACCCTGATAGGAAAGCCAGACAAGAACATGACAAGAAAAGTACATAGATGCAAAAATCCTTAACCATATGCTAGCAAACCAAATTCAACAGCACATTAAAAGAATCATTCACTATGATCAAGTAGGATTTATCTTTGAAAGGCAAAGATAATTTACATATGCAAATCAATACATGTTATATGCTCCATGAACAGAAAAAATTATAAAAATCATATGATTATCCCAGTGGAGAGAAAGCATTTGGCAAAATTCAACACATTTTTTATGATTAAAACTCCTGACATACCAGGTATAGAAGAAATGTACAACATAATACAGGTCACATGTAGCATGCCCACATCTAACATCATACTCAATAATAAAAAGCTGCAAGCTATTTCTCTAACATTATGTACAAGGTAAGAATACCCACTCTTGTCATTTCTAAACAACATAGTACTGGAGGTTCTAGCCAGAGCAATTAGTCAAGAGAAGGAAATAAAAACATTCAAGTTTGAAAGGGAGAAGTAGAATTGTCTCTTTTTACATATAACCTGATCTTATATATATAAAACCCTAAAAACTCCATTTAAAAAAATGAGAACTAATACATTTTGTAAAATTTCAGGATATAAACACAATATACAGTTTCAGTTGCATTTTTTATACACTAACCACAAAGTATCTAAAAAACAAAAAATAAAACATTCCCATTTATAATATCATCAAAAGGAATAAACTACTTAAGAATAAACTTAGCCAAGGAGGTGAGGGAAGAGAGCTATTCTTGAAAAACTGTAAAATACTGATGAAAGAAATTAAAGAAGACACAAATAAATAGAAAAATATTGCATATTTGTGAATTTGAAGAACTAATATTGTTGAAATGTTCATAATATGTAAAGTGATTTATAGATTCAAAGCAATACCTTTAAAAATTCCAACAGCATTTTTTTTTCTCAGAAATAAAAAAAATCCTATAATTCCCATGGAACCACAAAAGACTCTGAATAGCCAAAGCAATCTTGAAAAAAAAGAGCAAAGATGAAAACATTACACTTTCTGATTTCAAACAATATTACAAAGCTATAGTAATTAAACAGTATGGTACTGGCATACATAAAACAATGATGTACAGAACAGATACATAGAACACAGAACAATGATACATAGATACATAGAACAGATACATAGAACAATGCAACAGAATAGAAATTCCAGAAATAAATCCATGCGTATACTGTCAGCTTATTTTTGACAAGGTCATGACAAGAATACACAGTGGGAAAAGGATTGTCTCTTCAGAAAATGGTGTTGGAAAACTGTATATCCACAGGCACAAAAATCAAATCAAATCCTTAAACTGCAGCATACACAAAAATCAACTCAAAAGGGATGAAAGACAAAATATAACATCTTAAACCATAACATTCTTAGAGGAAAATAGGGAAAAACCTTCTCAACACTGGTCTTGGTAATTATTTATTTTTTATTTTTGGTTCTGACACAAAAAGCATAGACAACCCAAGCAAAAGTAAACAAGTAAGATGATGTTAAACTAAAAAACTTTTGCACAGAAAAGAAAGCAACAAGATGAAAAAGGAACCTACGGCATGGGAGGAAACATTTCTAAACCATACATCTGATAAGGGGTTAACATTTGAAATATTCAAGGGACTAATACATTTGCATCATAACAAAACAAAACAAAACCAAACCAACAAAACTCAATTAAAAATAGGCAAAGAACATGAATAGATAGCTCTCCAAAAAAAGAACTGTCTCCACACAAAGGCCCAACATGTAGATGAAAAGGTGCTCAACATTACTAATCATTAGAGAAATGCAAATCAAAACAATAAGCTATCACCTCATACCTGTCAATATGGCCATTATTAAAAGACAAAGATATTGTTGATGAGAATATGGAGAAAATGATTTCTCTGTACACTGTTGG